TAACATTTAGAAATGTAGTTTTCCTTGAATATAGTATAGACATTGACAATAGTTTTTGACGTAAACCATCTAGTTTTTTATTATTATTAAGTTTTCTATAGAAAATTGAACATCATTTTTCATATGATATTTTATAATAATGATATCAAGTAGAAATTTCTATGTATACACTTCAATTAACTCATATTTCACTTTTCATACATTCTCTAAGAATTTGAGTTCATTGCTAAACTAATTCCATAATTTATCTAGATTATGTTGATTTAAGAATTCAAATGAATATGTTGAATACAATGACGACAAAATTAAAATATCGAACAAATTAATATGATATAAGACTTTTCTTATGTTGAATAAGAGAACATGTTTGTCAATAAGTAATATAAAGTGAAAGTTTCTTTTTTTTCTTTTCATCTTAATTATCTAATTTTTTTCTTTTTTTTGCTTACCAAATTCTATGGATTGATTAAGTTGATTTAATGATGAATCAAGTGATTCACGTTCTGTTTGTACAGTATTGAGTTGTATTTTTAAATCTTTTATTTGTTGTTCAGCATTATCAAAAAGATTTTTTTCTGTCATTATATTTCGTTGTATATCAGCTATGGATTCATCAATGGTACGTATATTTGTTTCTATTTGATTAATTTTTGTTTGACATGTTTGCATTGTATCACCCATACTTTCTAATTCAAGTTCAAAAGCTTTTTCACGAGATTTTAAATCATTAATTTGGTCAAGTAAACGAGATTTTTGTGTTGATAATTCTTGCATACGTTGACGCTCCCATTCAAGACGACTTTTACGTTCCATTTCTTTTCGTGCTGCCTAAAATATTACATACAAAGTTGTTAGCACAATTCTTGTGGGATTAAAATGTGAACCACGATCTAATTACTGTTACTAATCACAAGAGATTGCTTTATTCTATTTATTTTGCGACACATTTCTTCATCATTCTTATATTTAATTTTCTAGAAATGTAATAAAAGCAAGGAATTCATATATGAGAACGAGATGTTTTTGATATACGGTCTTTGAACTTATAACAATAACATTTACTACCATCTGAGATCTAGGTTCGCATTGGAACGGAGAGAAAAAAAAAAGATATTTCGAAATCTTTAAATTATCAAATAGACTTAAAAATTTCATCATATATAAATATATATATAAAACATTAATATATGGCATCTTTAATGTCAACAATTCAATAGAGAAAATTTTTCATTTTTAGTAACCAAAACCAAAACTGTACTTCTGGTTCAAGGTAATTTTTGAAACTATAGAACTCCATCGAGAGATTTCTACTTCAACATACATTTAGATTATGTTTTAGAAAAAAGTTATGTCTGGCACTAGAAATTGATATTTATATACAAATGATTGTATACTGTAATCATGTGCCATATAGAACTTCAAATTATTCATGCATAACGCATAAACGATGAAGTATAGAATTGATTCTTTTGCATGGATATGACTCAAACTCGTCTTATTGAGTATTAAGACGTGATCTCCTGATCCATGCGAATAATTTCTTTTGTATTTATTTACCTCACGTTGTTCAAATAATTTTTTTCGTTCTTCTTCTTTTTGTTGTTCAATTTGTCGTTGTTTTTCTAATTGTCGTTCAATTTCCATTTGTTTCTTACGTTCTTGTTCCTCTTTTTGTTTTTGTAGTTCAAATTCACGTTTACGTTCTAAATGGGATTCGAACTATTAACCTTATGCTTATATAAATATTTAACAATGACTATGACCATTCAACTAAACGAATCGAATTATTTAAGATAAAAATCTATTTACCTCGTTCTTCACGTTCTTTTTGTTCACGTTCTTCTTGTTCACGTAATAATTGTCGACGTCGTTCTAATTCTCGATTTCCATCCTAATTGAAATTATATTATAAAAAAACCAACAAAAACAAAAAAAAAAAGCACGATATACTTCATAATTTTTCAAACGTTTTTCTTCATATGTTGCCATAATAGTTTTTCGTTCAGCTTCTGTTGTTTCATTTGAACGGTTGACTGAAGTATTTTCAGTTGTATTTGGTAAATTAAATGTTTCTTTAAGTTCTTGATTAAGACTAGCAAATGTTCGATTATCATTCGATTTTGTTGTTGAATCTTTTCGTTCATGTTGTTGTAACCATTCATCAGGAAAATGTATTGGTAATGCTTGACCTGTACGTGCTATGTCACAACAATGCATTGCAACAACAAATTCATCTGGTGTTAAACAACCATCTTTATCATAATCAGCTAAATCCCTATTATAAAAATTCAATAACAAAATTATTTAGAAAAGTTAGATCGAGAAAAAAAAAATCAATATCTATTTGTTGAATATAAACATTTATCAAAAAGAAATTCATGAAAAAAAAAAACTATTATTGTTAGAAATAATTTAAATAAATGAGTGAATGAAATAATAATTCAAGATTCATTTGTTATATTTTACTACTTCGGAAATTCGTCGTATTATTCTGAATAAAACAAAGAGTACTCTTATTATCTTAATAATTCAATTTTGCTTTTATCTTTCTTTTCAATTATGTAATTTCATCTTAGACATTCCGATTGTTTCGAAAGAGGATGGTATCATTTATTCTTCTTATCATTTTATACAAATAACAATATTTGACATAGTTGTATCTAATTTAGTCGAGTGTAAAATTATATCCGAACTGATCTTCAAACGATAGATAGAGATTTTCTTTGAACAAAAAAAAAAAAAGGAATTTTTAAATTTTACATGCAACATATAACAAAAATAAATAGATATGTATATATATATGAAAGTATCCCTAATAATTTATGCATGATTTTATCTTTTATATCAAGTAAATCCTTTCACTTCGATAAGTTTTCTCATTTTGTTAATATCAAATTTATTTCAACTGACAGTAGACGTGAACACAGAGGCGACGTGTAGAAAAGCCTGAAAATGAACACTATCGAAAATTTTAACCAACAGCACATTCACTATTATTAGCATAAGGGGTGTAGAATTCTAGTCTTTTCTTCAGTCACACCCACGTCCTTTCTGATATTTTTCTTTTCGGTCAACCGTTAAAATTCTATAAAAAAAAAATAATATTTACCATATTTGATGAAGTAGAGCATTTGATAAGCCAGTTTGTTGAAGAATTGTTTTTGCTTGTAAACCATTCATTAATCCATTTGTTTTCGATACATCAACAATTGAATGAAATTGTTGAAGATATTTCGATCGAATTGTTGGTGTTATTGGTACAATTGAACTACTATTTGGACCAGTTGTTTTTAAAATAGGTCTAAAGAAATCTAATTTATTTAAAAACAAAGAACAATCAAAGTTAATTTTTTTTGTTTACCCTGTTAATGGAACTGTTGGTATAGGTTGACTGGAAGCTAAAATAGTATTTTATTTTTGATTATGACATAAATAGAACAAAAAAAAAATGAAGAAGTTATATCAAAGCATTATTTTTGGTTAATATTGGCAGTGTTTTTTTTAAATCTATTTGTGTATTCAATCTTACCACTACAAGAATTGAATTTTTCTTTAATGTCAATGACTTCGCTGCAATGATGTTTTTTTTTGTTTTATATCTGATAGGAAATAAGAAATGAATTTAAAGAAAATGACTTACCATTGATTAATAATGGTGATGTAGTTACGGATGGTATACCATTTGTTGTTATTCCTGAATCCGAAAGAAGACTAGGTGGAAGAATTGTTGGTAATGGTCCTTTTTTTTGAACCTAATATAAAGAATTTTAAAAGAAAATATTTCAATATATTACAATAAATTAATTACTTGAGATGATATTAAATGACACGCAATAATAAATTCTCGTGAATCTAAACGACCATCAGCTGATATATCAGCCAAATCCCTAGAAAATAATTAATTATTTTTCAATAAGATATTAACAACAAAATATACCAAATTTTTCGAAGAATATCTCCAGGTAAATTTGATTTAACAAAAAAATCTCTTGCTTGTTCGCCTTGTAAGAAAAAAAAATTTCATTTTATTTTTTATAATTTTCTTTTCACAAAAGAAGAAGAAAAAAACAACAAATGTTACCCGAAAGATAACCTTGTATTGGACCACATTGTTGAAAGTACGATTCGTATCTTATTCGTTCATCGGCATTGATTCTCCAATCATCTAAAGATATTATTTTTTAGTATCATCATTCATTTTTATTAATTATAGTATCTTACTGGCCGCCATTTAGAAACTGTTTATGTTATCTCATTATAAAATAAAATTTGTATTAAATAAAAAGAAAATTTCAATGTAAAAATCTATGAAATAGAAAGTATAAAAACACACAAAGAACGATAAAATAAGTTGATTAATTTTCTCACTAAAGAGTGAAAAACAATAACAATCAATGTGCCGTTTAGCAAAAAAAAAATAGAAATATGGAGTAGAAAAGGATCGATCATTGATTCATGGGAGGAAACTATTCTATGGAAAAAAATATGGTATTAAGTTCGCAGATGTCACTGAAGAACAATAGATTTACTTAGCAAAATTCTTTTGTTATACATATGTTAGGCGGGTTATTTTTTTTTTGTATTTTATTTTAATATTATTTTTTTCTGTGTAATATGTTATTGTCTCGTAATGGGTTGCACGATTCATAAATCATCAAAAACATTACTTAAGAAAGAAGATTTAATCGAATTACAAAAGTATCCCGAAGAATTACATGAAAAACATATAAAAATTCTTCAATGGATGGAAAATGATTTAGAATTAAAAACACAACTTAATGATTATAATAAAATCAATTGGAAAAAGATTAAAGATAATGAACAATTATCATATTGGCAAGAAGCATGGCAAAGAGAACAAGAATTAGTTAAACATCCTTCAATGGTTGATTCATGTGAATCAAAAATGCCTTGTATTACATTGATTGATGAAAATTTACGAGTTTTATGTGATGAAAACGTAGACACATTTTGGAGAGATTTTGAAAAACCCGATGTATCAAACTGAAAAAGAAAACATTCATTTTTCTTATTATTTATTGAATACAAAGAACATCTAAGGAATACATCTACATATAGAATTGTTTTCAAGATGATAATTACAAAAGAATAATAACAACTTTTAGTTAGTTTTTTATAAAATTAAATGTTAAATAACACATCTATTTTTTAAAAGGATTAGTTTTGAAATAATACGCAATATCTGAATATTTTTGAATGACAATTAAATATTTCTGATCATGATTTATTAAATAGATATGTATATTTATGAAAATATCGATGAGCTTAACTTGTTTTAATAGCTAAATCATTTTATATGTCGTTTCTAACTTATATATAGCTTCATCAAAATAAATATTATTCAAATATTTCTTCACATTACTGATGATACTTCCTATATCATTGGTTCTTTAGTAAACATCAATTATCGTTATGTCACAAGTACCCTTACTATCAATGTTGTATGTAGAAGAGTTTACAAATTTGACCAACATTTCGATCAAATGAATCAACATATAGTGTGTTCGACTAAAATAAACTATCATGTATTTAATTATACTTTAAAAACAAAAAATAGAAATATACAGTATCAAAAATAATACAAATAAATTTAATTTTCAGATAATTAAAAAAGAACACATTGCATATACATTTATTAATAAAGCATTTATGTTTATGCTATCATTTTCCATATTAATTAATGAAGAAGTAATCGTTTGATCAAGAATAACAGGTCAAACACCTTTAGACTTTCTTCATTTTGAACTCATAAAATTACAAAAAATTATGAAAAAGTAACAATAAACAGTTACAAGAAGAAGGAAAAAATAATCGTTTTCTGCATAAAATTAAAAGGTATTTTTGACGAACCTCTTCAATCGACTGTAAAGAAAGTAATAGAAGAACGACAAGAAATTTTTTGACTATTAGATTGACTAGATGCAGACTAGTTACATTGGTACCAATCGTATTCGTTGACAAAATTGATTTGATCATACGATGAAATTGTATAATATGAGAAAATTTCCATGAATGATTACTAGTAATGAAAGAAATCTAATAATAGAATAAGAAATATTTTTTTGATGAAAAGACAAGTTGTTGGTATCATCTATAAATGAAACATTGTACTTAGATAACGATCTTTAAATGTAGCCTTTTTTTTGTTGTTGCTATACTCACAATTTGTTATTATGTGAAGCTTAATTAAAAAAAGTCCAATGTGAAATTATTATTGAATTCAGTAAGTGTCACATGTTTATAGTCTGATTCCCATGAGTAAGATTAAAATTACAAAAATAAATACGAATAGTCATGAAATTATACGAGTGTCAATATTTATCGTTGAAATAAAGTATTGCAACATGATGTATAGATGAATCTTCAAATATTAGACGGGATGATACATTTAATACACGATCATTAAATAAAAGTGTAAATATGGTGAACAAATGACAAAAGAAATGATAATTGTGTAAACTAGTCTGAATCTATTCGCTTTTTTTCATTAGATTTGAATTTTAAATATAAGACTGATTTACTAGAGACTTCAAAACATTGAAAAAAATTACATTCAAATGATGATACGGATATAAAAGTTGATGTTTTCCAAATCCGTTCATTAAAATAAACATGTTTATCAATTTAATTTCATGATTTTGATAAAAGCATCGTTTTCCTCTCATTTGCTTGATTAAAATGTTCATTTTAACTAATGAAATTGAAATATTTTAATTCCGAAGTTCACTTCACCATTGAAAATATCTTTGTTTTCGTGTTATAAAAATCATGAAAGTTTTGTTCATTTTCAATTTCATCGCTATTGATAATATAAAAATCAAAACATCTTCTTATTTGTTTCCATTTAAATGTTAGGAATACACATGGTTATTTTCATCGCAAGAATATCTAAGTTCTGTTGTATACCAGAAACTACCTCGGTAAGGCGACATGGTTTTTTTCAATTCTATTAACCTTACCTAATTGATGGAACTTTAAAATAAACCAGATCTTTGAAAATTAATCAAATATTTGAGATTATTTATTAATCTAACTTAAAAGACAATCAGCTGTGAGAATGTACTTTGTACTTTCAAGAATTCGTTAATAATAATTTCAAAGCTAGCTGGACCAAAATTGGTTTTGATACACTGTTGAATACAAAATAGAAGATTTCGTAGAATTCGATCATCTTTAATAAAATTATATGGATTTATTGAATCATCACTAATCCATAGTGTATATATCAAGCAGAAATAGTCGACATTTGTAGTTGCTTGAACAGAATTGGTAAGAAGACCAAGTCTAATTGCAACTCATGGAATAATTATTTTTCTCCGTTGGAACTAATGAAATGTGAATATCAATGTTATTTTATAGTTTCTATATGGTTTTCAGCTAATTTTCCTATATCAGTGAGATGCATTCATGAACATGAAAAAACTTCTACACTAATCAATAGAGAATTACCAATGGAATCAGATAGTATCCTTGAATTGTTTCTATTATTAGAATATAATTTTGCAGAATAGATTGAATTCATCTGATTATTTCAAGTATTATTTTTTTCTTCATTCTACTAATTAAAGAGATTATATGAAACTGCATGTCATATTTTGGTTCAGATAGAAAAAGTTCAAGTGTGATGAATAAAATCACTTGAAAAGACAGAACTACGAGAGAAAAATAATTACGAACCAATGCACTACAGCTATCGACACATAAGAAAACTCTGGATCTTATATTCTGTCCTATCGTTCACAAGTTAGGAGAGGAGGATCTTCTATTATTTCTCTAAAAAATGTTATATTTTTTTACTATTCTAAACGATATAATTGTTCTAAGACTTTTTATACTGTTTATATTTCTATTAAACCTTTATTTCATTTTGCTATTTTAGAACAGCTAATAAAAAAAAGTCTATATTCTCTATTACGAAAGAACATTTCATAAAACGAATATCTTAATCATAAAATGTGCTAAATCATACAAAGTACAATGGCTTTACACATTGTAGCGAGAACATTTTTTCAAAGGATAAAAGAAAAATTAGTCTTTTGATTTTTCAGCATGTCCTTCAAGATCTGCTGTTTTTATTATTGAACTTGTACTTTGTTTATCATTAAAGATCAATATATTCTTCATAATCAATAATCTAACAAAATAGTTTTATTTCAAAAAACAAAACAATAACAAAAATAATTTGAAAAGAAAAAAAAATTCATAAGAGATATTTTAAATACTTTTTATGACTAGAACTTAAATTAACAAATGTTTTTTCAATTTGTATAAGTACACATTGTTTATTTCGTATATAATTACGAAAAATAAATCGACATATTTGTTTTAATGATAAACATTTATCATTAGTTTTCTTATCTATTCTTAATAATATATTATTTATATTAAACATTGTACGTTTAACTAATAGATATTCATTAGTCTGATGAAATATTTCATCAATATAATGATCACATTCATTTAAACGAATAAAATCTGTTTTAGTTGGTTCAATACAACAATGTGTTATAAGATAAGTAAATAATTGCATTTGTTTATTGATTAAATCATATAATGCACGTAATAAACGTGTATGAAATTTAATTTGTAAATCAATTAATAATTTATTATGTAGTTGTATTAAATAAAGATAAATTGGTTCAAGAATAAGTGTAAATGGAGATATAACTGATATATTATCATGAAAAATATAAAACGGATTAAAATTAGCATATTCAATAAGTAAACGAAAGCATTCAATTGAACCACATGGGCGTAATGATTGATTTTTAAACCATTTTATATTATATTTATCAATACTAACTTGACGATGTTCAGCTAATAAACAAAGATTAAAAATATGTTGTTTTTGTTGTTGACTTAAATAATCAAATGTAAAAGATTTAAATTGAAACAAAATTGATAGAAGATCAGAACGATCATTACGAATAATACATGCTAATGGTATTTCATTTTCATATGCTTCTAATTCACGTTGAATTAGATGACGTGGTTCATCATGTAATAAATAACCATGTGATTGATTTGAACTACTAATACCATCAAGTGATGCATACGGAAAATAATTTAAAATTAATTTTAGAATGTTACCATCACCTTAAAAAAAGTTTTACATGTAATTAATATATATATATATATACTGAAACTCACGAAGAAAAGTTCTCGAACGGATTATTAATTGCTTTTAAGTCAGGATTATGTGCATTATGTAGTTTCTAATGAGTTATGAATATCCTGAAAGAAGCTTGGAGCCTTACATCTTATGGCTACGGAAATTGAGCATTTTTATGGTAAATGATAACTAAAGGCCGTGATCTGCTCAAAGAACACCCAGAAGTTTATTTTTCCAAATTACGATTCGAAGATATTGTTGTGACAAAAATGTCTTTTATATCAATCGTATATAGCAGCAGATTCGATGTTACTTGAAAGTTGTGCGATTAACTATTCGCATTCAACTCTGTCTCTCTACAAAGTTTCAAGTTGCAATTTGAAAACTGAACTTCCTAGTATTCCTTCGGAAGAGCATGGAATTGACTTAAAAAAATACCGTAAAAATTCAAAATCACTGCAATAATAGACTAAGAGAGCAAACTCTTTTCAGGGTATTATTCGCTAATTAGACTCTATATAATGCACATAGTCCTGAATCCAAAGCAACTAATCAGTTTTGGTGAACTTTCTTCATAAGGATCATCAGAAATCTATTATTTATATGACTAATGTGTCGACGAACGATTTTCTTTTTCTTTTCTAATGATTCTACTCTTTTGCTTCTTTTTTAAAATAAGATGGAAGCAAAATTCAATTGTGATCTATGTGATTGTTTATATTCATATCTAACCTCTTTCACATGCCACTGGTACAAGAATTTTTCCACCTTCAGTTGACTTATCGATCATATGAAAATATTTATTAAATACATTATCAATAAATGTATCTGTTGATCGTTCGACTATAATTTGATAAATATTAAAATGATTATAACCAACTGGTATCGGACAATCAACTAAAATTGGATCATCATTTAATAATTTATCAAATGTTTGACAATCAGATTTCATAATTGCTTCTAAAAGATATTTTCGTTTTTCAGATTGCTGATTTAATTGAACAATTTTAAGTGCAGCATCTATATATGACCATTGTTTTTTTAAACGATTTTTCTTTCGAATATATTCAGTGGATGACATGTACAATGTGAATATGATATCTAAAATTTAATGACCATCAATTTAATGACAAAAAAACAAGATAAACAAAAAAAAAATTTCGATTTGCCATTCAAAAGAAAAACAAATATTTTGCGTCCTAAATCAAATTCATAATGAATTGAAAGTAAAAACTAATATAAAGATTCGTTATTTTCTAAGATGAGTTCATTCATCAAAACTTAATCGATTTTCTCTTAATCAATTGTTTTCATCATCTTCTTGTCTTACTGTAGCTTAGTGATATAGCGCCAAGTTGACCATTATATTCAGATACCTTAATTCTAGTCCATCTACTATCTATCCTCTACTTTACTATGATAGTATCCTAATTTATCATAGGGCAGGATACAAGATGAATGTCACGTAGGACTTCATCGGTTAGGCATGTCATTTAAATGTTCTGAAAAACCAAATTTACAGAAGCATTATATATATCATCTGAATGTAGGCAAACATCTTAGTTTAGATGTTTGATAAAAATTACCATTATGTCAATTTTGTATTTATTTAAAAACGTTAAGTACTTTTATCACTTAATTCAACTGTCTTTCGACTATCCATTGAATGAATATCTTCGCCTTGTTTTTACTCATTCCAACATTACAAGAAGTTCGTCTTCATTCAATGATTTTTTATGATAAAAATATTCTTCATAAAAAAAAACTGTCAAATCAAATCATAATCACTGTAAATAAAATAAGAAATGTTGACTAGCATTGTACGAAAAAAAAAACCAAAATTGACTGAGATTAATAAATGCATATAAATTATAACTTTATACATCATCTTCGAATAGAGGTATAAAAGAAGATTTTTTGCCTGTTGTTAATGATTCGTAACCATTATCTGTTTTATCTATTGAGGATTTTTGAGTTGAAATTGATGAGAAATTTATATTTCGACGTCGTATTGAATCATCACCTTGCAATGAATCTACAGAATCTGATATTTCACGTTTTATTTCTGATGTAATTTGTTCACCACCTAAGTCACGTTTGTATGTATGTTTTAATCGTTTTAAATCTTTAGCATAAAATGATTGCCATAATTGATTAATAACCTAAAAATAAACTTTTTTTTTTAGTTATCCTTCTGAAAAAAAAGACACTTCTCGTAATTTACTTCAGTACAAACAAAATCACTTGTATTCGATGATAATAAACGAAGCATAAATATACCATCGGGTTCAAGATAACCATATATAAATTCCATATACCATCTTTTAATATATTCAGGTGATTGACTATTAAAATCATTATCACATCTCATTAATTGTAACCGTCGTTTTATATAATTATATTGTTTATTAGGAAGAAAACGTATTACCCAAACAATAACATCAAATATTGACTATAAAAGAAAAACGAAACAAAATTTTATAGAGAAAAAAATGTATATATATGAAATTTATAACATACAACTATAAAAACCATCATATACCAAAACCAAATAAAAGTAAAAATCTAAATAAAGAATTTTTTAATCAAAATAATGAAAAAAAAAACCAAAAATTATTTTCAATAATATTTACTTGTTGAGAAAATAAATTTAATGGAAGAACACATTGTACAGTATAACGATGTGAATCAGTTTGATGCAAAGTTTCTCTTATTTGAAAATCACATAATGTTACTTTTGGAAAATATTTTGATTGTGTATCCCAACCTTATAAAACAAAATAAAGAATAGAACCTTTTTTTTTCATATTATTTACCTTGTCCTTGAAGAATTCGTTTAAGTACTTGTATTCCAAATAAATGAAATTTTTGTCCCAAAAATAAATTTAATAAAAATATTTGACATACAGCATTGATTATAAATAATGCTTTTGTTGTAAAATAAACAACAATTAAATAATTACCCAAATATTTTCCCATACAAATACATATTGTCATTAATATATATTTTAAATTCATACATTTACTACGTTTATTAGTTTGTCGTCGTGGATCATCAACATATTTATCAATTGTTTCAACAATATATTCCATTAATTCATTTTTATGTTCATCATCTTTTGTTGCTATATCAACTGATTTATAATGAATAGCTGCATCAACTATATCACGTACATCAATACCACTACGACGTGATAATGAACGCCAAATAATATGTGGAAAATAAAAACAAAATGCTTGAAGAAGTAAGATAAATGGTATCCATTGATAATAACGTAATTCATTTTGACGTCTTTCAATCTCAAGTTTTGGTACTTTTTGTTCAAGAGGAATATAATATGTATTTGATACCCAACATATATCGTTGACATATTCCTTAAAAAATGAAATATTTTATTTTAATTTTATTAATAGCATCAACGAAGGAATTCTCTAATATGATTTAACGCTTTTACTCCTATACTTGACCAGTAAGTAGAAGAGCTGTAGAATAGAAAAAAGTCTAAAAGGATATGGTCCCATGTTGCAATTTGCTCCAGATATGAAGATTTTAATGGAAAATTTTTGTCAGATTCTCATTTTCTATCAAGAATTCAGCTAGACTAGCTTGTATTTAAGATTTCAGAATTGTTAGACGTAGCATTGTTGAGATATGAATTTTGCAAAATATTTTTGTCTCGTACAGTATCTATAGAGAAACGCCTATATTTTGAAAAATTATGAAATTTTATATGTAAGCCAGCCTAGTTGACATCTAGATATTAACAAAGTTTCAGGTCAAAATTTGAAATTATGCTTTTGTTAGAAAACCAAGATTTGCCAAGAAAATATCTGTTGATCTTCTATATCTGAACCAAATTGCAATATAGATTCAGTGAGTGGTTTCCTCGTTAGTCTTTAAAGAAATAATAACAATGCATGCATTGAAACTTATTATGTAAATTTGATTTAACTTGCATATATATATATATATACACATCAGATTTCTTTTCCTTTGAATCAAATGTGCAAACTATTATAGGATTTTGATTATCATCAACAATCCATCTGTATAATCAATTAATGAAATGTTAGAATATTCTATTTATTGAGACGTGTCATGTTTTCTGCATACGGAACTGTAGATAATAATCTTTGTAGAATATGTTTCTTATTCGATAAATCCCCTATGCCTTATAAATGGAAAACCTGACTGTTTTGATCAGAATTTTCCCACTACTGCGATTTCGACTGATATTGATACCATCGACACATAGTATATTACTTAGTCTATGATGAAAATCTCAGTCACAAATAACGAGAAATCATTAAGGAAATCATAACTTTGTCTCACGTAGAATCTCAGTCAGGAATGATCATCCAAGCGATCGTTTATAAAAGATTTAGCACCATATTTACAATTCCATACATCCATTGTGCACATTTCTATTCATTGAAAAGTAATTTTAACAAAAAAAAAACATAACATGGACCAACATTCGACAATCACTTAAATAATTCTTCGTGATTTTCCTGAGCCAAGATTTTTTTCCCATTCTAAGATTGTCGATCTACTAGAATCAAATTCTCTTGTTAATCGAGTTCTTTAGAAATTTTCTTCAATTCTATACTTAAATTATACCAACAGTCATCACTACTTACCTCATAATTTTTTGTAAATTGTGCAGGAACCCAACCTATTGTAATTAAAAAATTTTATCAACAAAATTTCTCCTTAGACTCGTCTCACTTACATTGTATATGCTTAGTACCAAATTGTTTATTTGTGACAACAATAGCAAAAAGAGCAAGCATAAAAACTGTATATTTATATGATAGTCGATCGGCAAAACTATCATCACAACGTGATGCACCAAAAGCCAATGACGGTAAACGTGTTATCATACCAAAGACATCCATTTTGTTTTTATCTGAAAAACAAAATAAATTATGTTGAAAAATTAATCATAATAAAAAACAACAACAATCAACAATAATAATAAAAAACAACAACTAAGAGTCATTCTTCGTCAATTGCTATCGAGGAATCACATTTAATTTTAATTTGTCCATTGTTTGTTTTGTTTCAGAATCTAAATAATTCGAAAGAATTCGTTCTTTTTCTTGAAAATAATACTTTTTTCTCCAGAAACCTTTTTTATTGTCTCGTTTAGTTGAATATTTGTTTTTAATTTAGCAACAAAGAAACCATCTAAATTATGTAGATATGTATCAAATTGATGAGAATATTTCATTAATAGATGAAATGTTCTGCCTTTGAAACTAAGAGAATAACAATCAAGTATTAAAATGAAAATAATCGAAGTGTTTTCTTCCTTTTTTTTCACATACTTGGTAAAATCTTTAACGCCAAACTCTAAATCTGTCTCAACTAATTTCATCGATTGATTATTTAATGAATATTGTTTATTCATCCTAATTTATAATCAATTCATTTTCATATACATATAATCATATCTTACTTGAGAATATTTTACTACTAGACGTTTTGCTATAATACCTGTGCCACTACATGATGCATCGCCAAGACATCAATCAAAATCGCCTATCTGCTAAACAAGAAAAAAAGAAACAGTTAAATACTACACTTTTAGTAAAAAAAAAAGATACTGCGTTCACATACATTATTTTGCATAATCCATCACGTTATACGTTGACCAATATACAATGTCATAATAGAAATATAGTATGTCTATATAATATAAGAAATATTTGTATTTAATTAACAGCTGGTCAATCTATTATCGCTTCATTTTTTTTCCTTTCTCATTAGTGAAAGTAAACTGTAAGTGATGACATATTATTACATAAAAAGCATTATTGGCCTTGATGATTTGTAAACAAAGACAAATAATTAAACAATGTTTTTGCTATAAAATTAACAATCATGTCAATTACAAAAAAAGCGTTTAGAACATATTCAATAAATAAAATTATTTATGATGTGTTTTACTGTAACTGATTCTATTTATCATTTATACCGATGAAAAATATAGTAACTTCCAACAGATGAAATATACGAGTGATTTGTAACTATTTTATATGAATGGTAATAAAAAATGAAAATAGACGTAAACAATTTTTGAATAGCATATGTGATATTACATGGTATCTATGTTACATAGTAAAATTTTTCTAACACTTTACTGGATATTAAGTGGGGTACTGACTAAATTGGTTTTATTCAATGAAAAGACTTAAGTTATTTTTGCAGCTCTGCATGAAAAGTAAATAGCCGAGAACAATACATAATACATTCAGATTTATTTGTCAAATTCTTCTGAGTTTAACTATAGAAGACAAAGAATATTTTAAACAGTAAAAACTAGAGAATAGATATCATTATCGTTAGTATAACTTTTTGAGCTCTCCTTAATCTGAAAGTTTGAATGGCATTAGCACAACCGTTTGTGAATTATAGACCATACAAGTTTCAACATATTAATGTACAAAATGAGTGAATATGCTAGTCTTGGGGTACTCTGATTCCTTTTTTCCTAATATAGAATTAAGAAAAAGTAAATATTTTTATAACAAAAACTTCTCTATTATTTGATATATTAGTTTTCTATTTAAATCTGTCTTCGCCTGCAATAGCGGTAGGTTTGTGTCAGTGCACAGAAAGAAGTGTCTGTTATCAAATATCGAGAACAGAGGTATACAAATGAAAAGATATATAGACTAGTGGATCATATGTTTCGATATAGTAACATTCAAGCTTCAAAATGGCCTACTTGTATTTTCTTTTCTATTTCTTTCGTTGTTCGAACAAGAGTCTCATCCACATACGTCTTACTTAAAAATGCTATTTTTTCTAACTGTCAAACCTGTAACTTAAGAAAGATACAAGATAGAAACATGAAATTAGCTGTGAACGTAAAAGATTATCAAAAGACTAGAACTAAAGTAACCGCTTTAAAATCGTTCGATTCGAACGAAAGTTATAGTGTAGACACTAGATAACACCAATCGTACAAAAACAAAGATTTTCTTCTAGATATGACATTTTAAATTTCTTCTATAAAACTATTTACTTCAAAAAAATCTCGTTCATCAAGATTTATTACAATTGTATTTGATAAACCTAATCTATATTTATGAGCAATAATTGCTTTCGCACGATCTTTATTAGCGTCATTTGCTACTAATATACCACTATTGCGTATTAATGTACCTAAAATTAAATTCTTCGAAATAGAAAACTCCTTTTAATAAAAACAAAAAAATCTATTCACCAATTTAAGACGCTTTTCCATCAAGAGCTGTACACATATCTAAAATTTTTTCAATCGGTTGAGAAGCTAATGTTATAACAGGTAAAAGCCTTGATGCACTTCGTAACATAAAATATTCACTAAGATACTCAGGTGTTGCATCAATAAGTACTTGACTTTTATAAATGACAAGATCAACTTTAGTCCATTTATCATGTAGATCAAAATTAACACCGCGATTGATTGGTGCTTAAACAAGATCACGACGACATGTTTTTAATGTATTCATTCGAATACTAACTAGTCGTTGAACTTAATTTGCTTCCAAAACTCGATTAACTAAAAACTACTTCGCTTTTTTCAAATGATTTCAATTCTATTCTCTTTTACTTCAACAAATGAAAATGAATCGATAATTTTTATTCATTAAAAATTCCTTATACGAATAATAATTTCATAAATCTTGTTTAAGTAAATCAATATATTCTTTTCTTGAACTGAAACAGTTTTCATTGATTAATCATAGTTTCTTTTAAAGCAAATAAACTTACCTATTTGATTCTCGTTTTTTTTAAATCATTTAAAATATTTTTAACTGCATGAATACGATGCATTAATAATTGTAAATCAGCTTATGGAGCTAAAACACTAACTCATTTTCTTATTTTCATCTTATTTTTGCAATAAACCTACTTTTGTTATTTTTTGTCCACTCGAAAATTGTACTTTTCCTTGTTGTTCAATATTAGTTAATAATGTTTGTTTAGAACATTCTTTTGTTTGACGTTGTTTTTCATGTAATTTTTTAGATTTTTTTTCAATATCCAGCTAATTTTATTTAAAAAAAATTATTCAATAAAGAAAAGGATTTTTTTAACAATGTTGATCTTCGTCTGTGCAACTGTTAAGCAGTTCATTATCATAGATAGATCCAACATGGAATTGGCTTTATTTTTAGTTACTTTAACGTTTTCAAAAAGAAATAGAAAATTTATATAGAAATAGACTAATACATACTTGTATTTTTCTTTATTGTTTGTGTTAATTCTTTTTTTTTTCAAGACGTTTACGAACATTGAAACGTTCGAATTAATAATTATAAAATTAGAGAGCCGTAAAAGAAGCAGATACAAATCGTTTCTTACTACGACTGAATAATACTTTCTTTTCGACAGCATCTATAATGTAACAGAAAGAGAACATAAAATAATATGTAAATTCTTTTACGGTGCATTATATATCATTGTTTCAATCATGATACAAATTGATCAATAGATTTGTAAAAAATGAAATGAATATTAAAATTTTAATTATTTGAAAGATTAAAAACTAAAGATATCGTACCAGTTTACGTTAATTCTGTTGGAAACACTGGTTCTCCTCGTTTTTCGCTTTCCATCCAATGCCAAAAATTTCTTTTGCTGTTCTCTCGTCACCTCACAATTAACTAATTAATTAATTAATTAATTAATTAATTAAAAAATCATTTCCTATAAAGACTTGGACAATTAACTAATCGTAATTCATTTACAAATCACCAACCAGAGCATAAATTCGATCGATCAATTGTCCCTAGATAATAACCAATAAAAAAGCTCATGTGTCGCTAGATATCAATCAAGACGAATTTTTTAGCGTTCTTTCTTTATTTTTAAAGAAGAACGACTAAGGATAATTCATTCATATTTCTTTAGAGATAATATTCAATGAATGCTGACTCAATTCGTCCTTCTCCTTCAGTATCTACGGAAGAATCTCATCCATTATCCTTACCACTATTTTTATCATCGTCATCATCATCATTAAGACCACTACGTGAACGTAATCGAACAAATCTTAAACGACGTATTAATTTATCACGTAGTCAAGTATTTAGTAATGATTTTGAAAATGAAGATAATATTTCAACAACAAATAATATTAATAAAACGACAATAATAACAACTAATTCTCAACCTCCATCAACACGTGTGATCTTTTTGATTTTTAATTCTATTTCTATAATAAATTGTGTTTTAATTTTTTTAGCAACTACTCATACACATACAGAACTTTATTCTAAAACAATTAGTCCAACAACTCCATCACCTATTCATACCACAGTTACATGTAGTCAAGTATGGGAACGATTAGCATCAAATGAAGAACATCAAAATTCTACATCATCTAAACCAAATATAACACCAACAATATCAACATCTAGTTTACCAACACATATTTCTTTTTCATATGATCCTAGTGATAATGATGATGAAGGAGACGATATACCACAAGATAATAAAGATGATTTTCATTATGTACCTGTTAGTAGTCAATCAAAACTTGTTCAATTTCAGTTTTTAACATTTGCTAGACAACAACAATTAAATTTACATAGTGATGATGAAGAAAAAGACGATACAATTATTGGTCCAAATATGCCAGAAGATGATGATGAAAAAGAGCAAGAAGAGGAAGAAATAGAACAAGAGGTAAAATATGAAATAAAAAAAGAAGATTTATTACAAGAATAAAAAAAAAACTAATATCATAGTTTTTAATTAACTAATTCTTTTGATTTGAGATTATTGGTGTAAAATGACGGAGGCTCAGCTTCCTTCCCTAGAAGGCTTTTAGTGTTTCCCTGTAATTCATTGAGTTCAGCTTAAACAGGAGCTTGAGTTTTTTTTAAAAGTATTACCAAAACATCTAAGCCAATCTACAACTTTTTACGAATTTTACTACTACTTCAAATCAATTTTATTAAATTTTCACATTCGAATACTTGTAGAATCGTGTATCAAAAAAACGAAAACGATCAATATCAACGACGAATTCACTCGATGATATTCCTGCTCTTCCAACAACTAGCAATGATACAATTGCATCATCATCAATAAGCAAACAACCATGTACAAAAAAACCTAGAATAAAAGATCCTAATGCAAATTTTCAACGTTTAAATATGCGAAAAAAACATTTTTCACATGCTAAAAAACATCAAGTTGCTAAACACAAGCGTAATGCATTCTATCGTCGAATGCGTCATGCCGGTGGTAATAAATAGACTTTCTTATTTACTAATATCTTTTTTCCTTCTGTTTGTCCAAAAAAAAAAGTTTTTTTTTGTATTACGATAAAGTAAAAGAATATATGTATCATGTACAATTTTAGCTATTTGTTTCATAACTGCCTTGGAACCGTGCTTGTACTCATATTGAAAAAAAACTCTATTGTTCCATCATTAAGGCCAAAAATTTTCGGCATCCAAGTTGTTGCAGCAAGAAATACAACGAGGAAACCAATAATATTCATTACAACACCAGTTTTGACCTAAAAAAATACAATTGAAATAGGCGTATTATTTTCTTTGTTTTTGTTCGAATCGAATAATAATGTTACCATGTCAATTACTCGGATAGCACCAGAACCAAAAATAATTGCATTCGGCGGTGTGGCTTTAAAGAATAATTCAATAAATTCGTTAATATATTTTTGTGTTTGTTACTTACCAATAGGTAACATAAAAGCAAGAGATACAGCTAAAGTACATGGAAGAATAAGATAAGCCGGATGAATAAAAGATGAACGTGACTATATATAATGAGAAAAAATCCAATTTTTTATTCAAATGAAACACTTAATCATACCACAGAATCAAGTACAGGCAAAAAAATACTTGCTGTACTTAAATTTGATGTTACTTCAGTAAAAAGACCACTAATAACAATAACTAACATAATAACTGCAGTATGTGGTACACGATGTAAAAATCGAAGTGCTTGTGCAACACTCTCTGATAATTTCGAATTCTAATTTATCAATAGAAAACATTATTCAGTTAAAATTTTTTATAATAAAAAATACACACAGTGAAAGCTGATGCCACAGAAAGACCAGCACCAAGTAAAAATATAGCACTCCATGATATATTTTTTACTAAAGTATTCCATTGAACAATTGGTTCGTATTTCCAATTACCTTATATACAAGAAATGAATTATGTAGAGTTTGATTTATTAAACAAACTTTGAAAAGGATTTGAATTCGGTAAAATTAATGGAAGTAAACCACAAAATACTGCAACTGTGCTATCACTTATAAAGCTATGAAAAAATTCAAGAAATTAATATCTTTTCAATACAAAGGACCATGTTGAATAAGATACCACATTGTATAAAAAAAAAAGTTGAGAATAATAAACCCTTACTATTGGCTTATTACCACGATATAAACTCTTCTTAGGCTTATGAGCGTAATCTACACTTCCTGTTCATAAATTTATAAATGAAAAATTTTCTAGTTTGAATGTTTTAATCCCCACCATGGAAAAATAGAGCCATTGGGTGATGGTTTGTTCCGTTCGTATACCGAAAAAGAGTAGATTACGCTCAGAAACTTAACAAGGGTTCATGTAATTGTAATAAATGAATATTAATGAATTATTATTCTATGATTGTTTTTTACAGTGCACCTTCATTTGAAAAGCTATCTATATCGTTTTGTACAGTAACTTGTGACGCACCGAATGTTACATAGGAAGTAATATTTTCATCAGGTTTCAACGTTCTGAGAAGCCATTTATCAGAAAAGGAATATTATAACAGTGATGCGTAATATGATCGAATATTATGACTTCAGCGTCTCCAAGCCTAGTCTTGAATCGTGTACATCTAATAGTGCTCACATTAGCTTTCTTTGTGCCGAAAGCGTTAGCATTTTAACTAGCTTCTATAAAACTTCGCTTTTACAATGTTTTCAAGTTCTTGATATTGTTCCTCGAATCAAAAGCGTCCAACCGTATAGCTTTCTCAGAAGTTAGGTGCCGTCAAGCTCTATAACTATACGAATTTATTGTCTCCTGAATAGGCAGTGCGTCATCATCAAATTCACACATCAATGCTTAAAGTAGTTTAATTTTTCGATTTGCATGAACAGAAAAGTACCTTCTATTAGTTGCCCAATTAAAGTTTTTAAAGTGGAAAAATTCTTATCTAGTAATGATAAACTCATTATCTTCTACGGTTTGACATAAATAGATCTTTCAAAAATGACGAAGAATATTTTTCATTTTGATTTTTTGGAATGAATGTGTGGGTAAGTGTATGTGTGGATGTGGTCAACAGAACTTCAATACCCACATCCGCTCGCACGCATATCCTGGGTGGTTATCTTATCCAACAGGATTCTTATTGATAATACCCTTTTTCGAATATAATATCCCATCCGTGTGTTTCACCAAATTCTCTCGTCACCCATAAAATAATCATAATAATAAAAATAATTCCAATAGTGTATTCACTCCAACTAAATATTTCAAAGAAAAATACTTTTACAAATGATCTTTTTAAAAATATATCTACTTTGGTTTTCCTAGATCATTATATTGTTTAATTAACATAGCTTTTAAATCAGCTAATGCTTCACGGTCTTCAGGATCAGTTCGGCATTTAAATAAACTATAGAAAGAAAGCAAAAAATATTGAAGAAGAAAATGTTTCTTCTCATTGATACAAACTCTTGTCTACTATATAGTATTTGTAACCATAACCAACATAGAATAAGCATTATTATCCCGACGGGCAATGCAAATAACAGAAAATTGAGAAAATTTACATTAAAATTTGTTCCTTTATATGTACTAAATAAATGGCATACAAAAAAAGAGAAGAAAATTTTTTGTTACCTACCTATCGATAAAACCTTTAACAAAAACATTGGGTCCTGTACCAACAAGACTTGCTAAACCGCCAATAGTTGCTGAATAAGCAGTAGCAAGAAGAAAACCTATAAATATATATATATACATATATAACTAGCTATGTAAAAAAAACTCCGTCAGATACATTTTCTTAATTCTTCATATTTTTTTTCATGTGTTTTTTCAACTTTCAATTGTCCTTGTTTTTGCCATGGCGATCGAAAACGTTGTTTTACTTCAACAGGAACTCCTGTGTTCCTAACATATTACATAATTTATGAGAATCCGACGTTTATATCTATATACATACGGTTCTTCTATTTGAGATGCATCAAGAATAACTTCTTTCGATATACCTCCATTTTGTACTTCCGTTTCAGTTATTTCGAGCACTTCTATAAATAATAGATTTTTTAGTATTAGTAAAATTCACTCCAATTATTGTTGACCTTGAAGATATTATCAGTTGTTAGACCTTGAAAATCTTTATTCATGAACCCTATCTCAGATCATATTCTTCACGAGTTCGTTGATAAAAAAACATTAATAAATGTCACTTTGATATATTAACTTGAAGTTAATCTAAGTTTACTCGAACTCTGAATTGATGTGGGATAGATGACACAGGGCAACTCAGTGTATTTATGGAACTCATTCTTTTTTTTTAATTAACAATTTCTTACAATAAAATGACTTCGTATGTGGTGTCATGAATGGAGATTTTGAACGTTTCTCTATCAATAAGAACTTCGAGATAAAAACAGCGATAGAAGTCGGTTGGAGCTTATATTACTAATACTCATAAATTTTATGGTGTGTATATATTGGATAATTCTTTTACCGTTTACAGTAGACGTTGCCTCTTTGACAGTTTGTTTTTTATCTGAATAGTTCTTTTCGTGACGTTCAAGTTCATCGATAATAGCTAATGATACGGGTAACATAATGGATGCTGCTGCCGAATTATTAATCCACATAGAAAGAAATGCCGTTACTGCCATTAGACCACCCAAAGTCCTGGCCAATGGAAAAACATACAAAATGTTTTAATCAAATAAATTGAAAATTTCTGTAAGTCTCTGAATAAAAAAGAAACCAAAATACCATTTCGTTGATGTACCAACATGACGTAATACAAACAGTGCAATGCGTCGATGCAGATTAACTAATTCTATAGCGTGAGCAAATGCCAGGCTACCAAAGAAAAGTGCAATGATATCTTGGAAATACAATGGTGCTACTTTGTTAGCCTCTAAGACACCAGCCTGTATATAAACATGAAAATAATTTGAAAATTTGTTTAAATAAATAAAAGAAAAAGATTTTTTTTACCATTGGGAACAATATGAGTGGTAATAAAGATGTAACTGGTAATGGTATTACTTCAAATATCCAATAAAGAGCAAGAATAAGTACAATATAACCACATCTTGCTTGCTAGAACGAAATTATTGCAAATAAATTTCTACAAAAAATTCATCACGTACTGATTTTTTAATGATAATAGGCAATGGAAGAAGAACTAATGGTATAAGTATAAGAGTTACCAAACGCCATCGTTGTTTAATCCAAATTAGGGCTTTATTTGTCATTCTAAATTGTAATAGAATGATTACAAATGTTTTCCATTGGCTACAATTTATTTTTATCATAGAAAGAAAAATACAAAACAAGACTACCTGTATGATAAGATATGCTATTGTATGTCGATTAAAAACGTTTTAGTGGTTTACGATGTTGTTATACTACGGATAAAATGATAAGAGTATCATGAAGAAAACTATTAAAAATGATATAGGTTTCTTTTCTTATAAAGCTAATGCCAGCAAAATGAAATTGATTTTATTAGTCTAGTTATTTGATCAATATATTAAGTTAAACATAGAATGAAAAAAAAGGAAAACAAAAATGTCGGAAGTAATTGATAATGTGATTCACTTGTATGAACAAATTCGTGACAAAGCCAACAAGAGATTAATAATCGTTGTTTTTTGCCTAATCCTTTTGATATTTTTTCAGATATATCTATGCATTTACACCTAGATAATTGTAGGGTTATAAAGTTATTCAAAATCGTTAGACTCTCCCAGACATGCTGAGGAAAGTGTAGGTTTAGTTTGATAATGGATGATAGTGGTTTTAATGTTTGAAAACAAAACAATTATTTCTAGATGCTTTTAAGTTTGAGACAGTGGGTGAGAATTTTTAAATTAAAAACAGCTGAAATGAACTTTACAAAACTATTTTTGCTTTGTATACGAAGTGTTGCTGGGTAAATCTTGCTCGATACGAGTAATTTAATTTATGCATTGTACCAGTAAATGAGCGTTACGCTTGGTTTCGTTTACTTTATCGTTATAATTATAATTTTGTGCGTAATGTAGTCCTCAACGCGATAGCTCTATCTCACTCTCTTCCCTTATGTGACCGTATTGTAAGGATCTATATATATATAGAAATAGATACAACTAGTATGATAAAACAGATCAACAAGCATCATTACTAAGGATAGTGATATAGCTACTGTCTCAATCCATTATCTACATCAACTTATGTAGCATTACAGATTAAAGAATGTTGATCATACAAATGATGTCGAAAATTTTAGTTTATGGTGAAAAAGGCCTAGGTTTTTATTGCTAAAGACTCGCTATATCGAAGATGAAACCATTGAAAGAAATAATCAATGTATACTTTAATCATAAAAGACTGATATGAGGAAAGAGCTACAGAAAACATCATCATATATTCAGTCTATTGTTATTTTATAAGCAAGACAAAATAGTGGTAGTAAAAAGTATCATAACCAGCATCATACAACAAAGAATCAAACAAACGATAAGCATTGTTGACGGCAAATGTTGATAAAGCTTTTCGTGTACGAACAAGTGTGCCTAGTTTGTGCAAAGTGCTTTCAAGAGAATCCATAGAAATTTTATTGCTTTTATCGCGATCTGCATTTCATTGTCTGAAACGATTGTGCATCTCATTGTCTGAAACGATTGTGCATCTCATTGCCGAAAACGATATCGTAGAAGAGTGAGATCACCGAAGCAAACATTATGAAACAGTTCGGCAATCATTCTTTGAGTTCACTTTTTAATATATAACATATGTAGATATTGCAGACATTATTTCAAAATATCACCGAAAACAGGAATTACCGATAGTCACATCACTGTAAGTGACATCATCAATATGCCAATTGTCAAATTTTGGTCAAATACATCCTAACCGATTTTTATCCTTTCAATTAAGTTTAAAATATTTATTCCAATATAACAAGAGTTATCAAATTGACTCTTAGTGTTAATGTGAAGTCGAATGGTGTTTGACAGTAGAATATATATTCCTTGTCAATTCTTGAAATCATGTATTGTTTTATAATAGATTTAAGCTTTTAAAACCGTTAGAATGATACTGATGTTAATGCTTGTGTCAACTTGCGTCATATTTATTCATTTTAGAACCTGAAATTGCATCATTATTCAAACTGATCGTGAAATACTTTTCTCTAACTCGAACTGCAATTAAATACCGTTAGCGTCAGAAATTGAACAGGATGATAAACAAAATAGATTAACAAACAGAATTATTAACTTCAGAAATAGAAAGAAAACATCTAATCGGAATTGAATTTTCTTATCACATTATTCAATAACTTAAACGATAATGGAATTTTTGTTTTCTTGTTTAACAGTTTTCGAATAGAAAACTTTTGTTTTATCGGATTGATTCGCTTTTAATATATTACATGAACGATGGTTTGATAAACTCCATATGCAATACACGAAAAACATATGATAAAAAGACAACCATGTGTAGATTTTACATGAACCACTAATATACCTAAATACATGAGAATGGAATGGTGTACATAGTCAAAAATATATATAAAAGCAGATCAGGCTTCGCTTGGAATAGAATGTGACAAAAAACGATCCCATACGATGTAATAGGTTGCATTATATTTTTGTCCCAAATAGGGACGAAGTAACCTTTAAACAAAGTGAACTTTTTGAATACATTTATCCGTTTGATGGAGTATCTAAAAGATTGAACCACTGAGAGTAGTGCAAAAGTAGTGACGGAAATACTTTATTTCCGTGTGAAAAACTTTTTCTTTATAAACGATGATAATCAAAGCAGTGCAGTATTTTTCTGTGATATTTGATCATGCATCAACTAGTATTATAATAATCAAATTTCGATAAGAGTTGTTGGCTATGATATACGACGACAAAATTAGATCATATTTTCTTCAATATATGTATTCTCTTTATTCTTTTACTGTTTTCTCACACCCACGCTAATGTTGAAACAGATGTGTCAGATTGACATTCAATAATAGATGGCGATGAATCTTCAGAAGATTTTTTATCAGTTATTACTAAAAACTGAATTTATTTACTGCTTTTAACTATTACAATAGACAAAATAGTGGTTTTTATTTATTTATTCATTCATTATTATCCATTTTACTGTATTTTAGTAATTAGAATGCAGAACTACCTATACAACAAAAAGAAAAATTCTTTTTGCCAACTGTACTGAAATAGATAAGAAGGTCGTCTGTATGAAAAAAATAGTCATATCTTTTCTTATACAAATGTTCATATAAGTAGCTGTTTTTTTCCATGAGATGCAATAAGGTGGGATTGTTCTGTCCTATGCAGAGTCCTTATCTAGATGTTATTTCATATTTTGGTAGAGTAGTTTGTGATAACCTGTAGAATATGCAAAGTTTTAACCAATCAAAACTGTCAGATTATTTTCTTTGAGAGAAATTTTTGTTGATGATGTCCAATATGCTCTTGTCATATGCAAAGCATATTCAGAAAAGTGCGTGGAATAAAAAGATTAATGATATGTTTGTTTGATACATAAAAAAAAGTGCATGAATAAGTATTCGACTATTAAAAACATATTAAGATGATGTATAGATTTCTTCTATCTTAAATAGTCACACATAAAACAAAGCCAATAAACATTTAAGTTATGAAAGGCCAAGTGTTCGGAATAATCTTACTCACATTTTTTGTGTTTAACAATGCAAAATGGACAGACTACGATCAAGATCTTAATATGAATTCGAATGAACGACCGTTAATTGTTCGTAAATTTTGGAATGAATATCTTTCCGTGAAGCAAAGAGAAGAAACTCCAATATTTACTGAAGACCATCGAAAATTTCAAAATGATTCATTGGAGATTCATAATATCTTACGTGCTCGTCATTGTGTACCACCATTAGTACTCAATGAAGAAATAAACATACGAGCTCAAATTTATGCTGAGTATCTTGCTAAAAGGGACCTTAATTTAACACATAGTACTGATCGACGTGGTCTTTTTGGAGAAAATCTTTATGCAGTAACACGTAAAACTCCTATCGTCAATATAAGTGGTATGTATTTTGTTAGTTTTATAAATCAGACAAAATCTTTTTTATTATTTATTATTTGTAGCTGTTAAGGTAGTACTTGCATGGTATGCAGAAATTGAATTTTATGATTATGACAATCCAGGTTATAAACCGAGTATAGGTCATTTTTCACAAGTTGTTTGGAAAGATACAGAAAGACTTGGCGTAGGATATGCTACGGGAAGACAGGGTCGTAAAATGTATGTTGTTGCTCAATATGGACCACCAGGCAACTATGGCTACCAATTCAGTACATGTGTTCTTCAACCATTATGTTAATTATCAAAACACAAACTTAGATTTCCTTTTTCGTTGTCTTTTTAATTTAAAACATTTTGGAAATAAACAGAATAAATTTGAAGACAAGATATATATTTAATATATACTAAAGAAAAACACAACTTTAAAAACTATAATAAGAGTTTTCTTTCTTTTACACGGAAACCGTAACTATTATTAAAGAATATTTTTAAAATTATTTTAGAAAAAAATTCAAGCAAATCGTATCTTAACACAATTAAATAGAAAAATTATTATGTCATGACATTTATATATATGTATTGTTCATCTATTCTCTTTTCTTTCTTCTTCTTTGATATATATATATGCATGCGATATTATGTACCAGTGGTGATTCTTTAAGTTTAAGAAATAAACAAATGTTTATGTTCTACATATTCGAACCCATGATTTGCTCTTAAAACAAGTATAATAAAAGTAGAACATAACAAAAATACAGTAACTATAACTTGCTTCAGTCATTGTTAATGTGTAACTTCATTTTTTCAGTCTATTTTTTCTTATATTAATCATGAAACTAAATAAAAAGAGAACATTGATTAATTGAAAAGCAAAAACGCAAGTATGATAGTAAGACAGAGAGGAGAATGAGTTTATCATGACAGAACCAAAACATTTGACATAGTAATTTTCATTATGATTGAGAGTTTTGCTTTCACTACAACTGACGTTACATATAGTTGTAATTTATGAAGAATGCAAGAATACATCAATGAAAAATAGTTTTCATTCGTCTATTTCGATGAGAATGTTTATTGACTGTAATCGTATTCTTTTGAACAATTCTCTATATGATAAAATGTTAGTTGATACTTTAAAAGATGTAAAGAACTATTGGCTTCATTGTGACTGATTAGTCAGTTATTCTTTTTAAGTTCACATGTGTCTTGATGAAAAATCTCTCAGAACAAATGTTACTCTTTTTTGTTTATTATCTATGAAACAACCTGTATGTATTATAATTATATTTAAATTCATTATGTTTGTTGGTCTAAAATAGTCAAGAGATAATGATGATGATGATCATACTTTCGATTTTCTTGATTTTTCCTTCAGTTTTACAATATGTTTCTTTGTAATAATTATCTCTCATTCAAACAAAGAGAAGTTGCAACATTCATTGAAATATAATAAAATTTACAAAGATGATGTCTTAAAGACAAATAATATTTTATATACAGAACCGTCGTATATCATAACAAATACTTGACAATAAAATAAATTTAAAGTTTTAGTTTGTGCTGAAAACTTTGCTAGTTCGCACATTCACAACAGTAATCGATATGATCTTTTTGAAGAAAATCCTTATGTAGTAATACATACGATCTATTAATACTCTTGAAAGTGTCCATTTAATTATTTTTATTTACCTGAAAAAAAAATGTTACTGATTACCAGGGTTGCCAGATTGTCTGAAAAGTCAGGACAGTGTCTGAAATTTGGATGCCTTTCTGATTTCCTTCTGATAGTCTGATTTTTTCTGATTTTAGCACTCGTCTGATTTTTCCTGTTTTTGATAATTTTCCCTGTTTTTCTCCTGAATTCTGAACTTTTCTAAATCATATCACAGCTGTTTTTAGCGAAATTAAATCTTATCATAACCCATTACTACAATAGATTAATATTGCATCATCTTTTCTCTCTATTGATGATTGGTAGTGTCGAAGTTATACAGTCGGCTACTGAAGGTGAACTGAAGCTTATAATAAATCCTTATACCTTTTTTGTGAACGAATTTTGAGTTTAGCGAAAGAGTTCGACACTACGTGTCTTCATTAGTTTTTCCTTGTTAGCTAAACAGTATATTCATTGTATTATGCTTTCTTATAGCGAAATATCTTTGAAAATAAAGTATGGATTAATGAACAGCGATTCAATAGAGCATCTTGTACCAACATGATACCATAATAACTACTAGGTTTTTCAAAAACTGACTTTTCTGATTAATTTCGGATTTTGCAAAAAAAAATTCTGATGATTTTCTGATTTTGAAAAAAAAATTCTGATTTCTGAGTTTTCGATCTGGCAACCCTGCTGATTACCGTTGTTTTGAATTGATCAGTTAAAATGTATCTGGTTTTTGGTAACTTCTTTGAGTAGCTATAATTGATCAATATGAATTATCAGATAATTATGGGTCTGTATGCATCATCAATGTTTTACTACCGAGTTGTAAAACATCGAAATAAAACGTTGCCGAATTGTTTTTGTTGTTAATCTTTAGCGTTTTTGACGTAAAAAGAGGTTTATTTTAAAACAAGATTGAAAAATTAACAAGAAGAGCAATACCAAAGAAAAGAAATATCATAAAAATAATAGTTATGAAATCTATTATTGTCTTGTGTATTATTCTCTCAATTCAAAGTTTGATAATGGTCGAGATGTTTACTGCATCGATATCTTAATGTTCAAACACCATCTACTTTACTTTGAGCTATATTTCTAACCGTGTGACAAAATAACATTTTATTAAGAAATATGAAGACATAATTTATCGTCAAAAAGCATTTGATTATTTGTTCTTTGTTACTAAAACAAAAAAAAAAGTATATGATGCTGGTTAATTTATTTGAAAAGTTTTATTTTCTTATCACATATACTTTCTATAATTGGTTATTGAAGTACAATAACAACACGTGCATGAAAGACTTTGTTAACCAGTTCTAACATGTTCGTTTCATAGTCGAATAGTTGAAGATAATTATAATCAGTCACATTTGACAAAATTGAAATAATTAATTCTTCAGATTCTCTTCAAACTAACTTCACAGAGGCTGTACCTTGAGTTAGAAATACATCAATTCCTAGACCACTGTTCCAAAGGTCACATTTTTAGTATTGAGAATTCATTATCCTATCAATTTTTTATAACAGTTCTGATCATTTTTGATTATTCTGTGTGGATGTATTAATAGATTTCACCGAGTTTAAATAAAAGAAATTGATCGAAATTCATGATTTGTAAGACAAAATCCGACTAATTTCATTCAATCTCATAATCGCTTTCTTTTATATTCAAAGAAATCAAACAATAGACTACTCAGATATAATCATTGATGACATGAATTACTGACGGAAACGTGTAGATCTCAAAATTTGAAATATGCTGTCTTTAAGTATGCATGCGTCAATTCCAACAAATATCTGAAACTTCAATTGAAAAATAACATATCAATAATATTGACAAATCACAGATTCAAATTAATTGTTGATATTGACCATAATTAATTTTGAATACTTTATCTGTTGCTATTTTTTTTTATTTCTTTAACTGTTAAAGAAGATTACGGAATTGACTGTAATAGGTCAGATATTGTCTTGAAACTCTTTCATTTAGATTTGACGAAATCTAATAATGACTTCAGATAGAACAAACAAAACAGAGCAGAACTATTTATAAACAATTACAAGTTTTATCATAATAAAAATTAAACAAATTTAGATATTATAAGTCTGCATAAGAATAAAATAGTGTTGATGTTTCTATCTGAATATTCAATATAGTCGAACCTTTCCTAGATTATTTACGTATGATTGAATCATCAATACTATACAAGATATGAATCAATAATATTATGTTACTGTAGCTTAGAATAGAAGTTCACGGTAATAAGTAGTTTATCTTAATGAAATCTTGGATAATAATCAAGCAGAAAATTCTTACCAAAGTATTTCAATGAAAAATGCTATTGGTTGTGTATTGAATAATGCTTAAACAGCATGATTGATCATGTTTTACTTCTTTATTGAGTTAAGAATGAAAATGAAATTATTAAAGACAATATATTAGTGTTTCTTTAACTAATGATCGTATTAATCAAAATTAAACTTTAAATTTAACCCTTTTCAATGATTCAAATCGGTTTTCATATTGAATCAAATCGTTAATTAAGCATAAAAATAATTCTATTAATCAAATATTCAACTAAATGCTCAAAGTTCATATTGAGATATATTAAAGAAATTATGAAATTGAACTTAATCAATATTCTCATCAGTTCATATTGGATTAACATATAAATATAATGTTCATTGCATTGTTCATGTTGATAGTTTCCTTTACAATCCAATAAATTCTTTTGAGCATAAAACTAGTCAGAAATCAATTATTCTAATCTTGAGATATCCTATTAATTCTATACAAAGTGATCAATTTTTTTTTGAAAGAAAAGAACAATGAATTTCAACTTTATTCTTTTTTTTTAAAGCTATTTTTATTGTTTAATTAAACAAAACAAAAACAATCTATCAAATAATCCGAATATCATTTACTGCTGATGTTTGTTGAGTATCAATTGTTGATAATTTATTTGTACCAAACAATGATGAAAAAAGATCAGTTCTAAAATAAATTAAATAAATAAATAAATAAATAAACAAGTTTCTATTTTCTTTTTACTTTGCTTCGTCAGTAAATGAACATCGATCAATTGGTGCCATATAATTTATTAATTTTTTATGAACATTATAACGAATTTTCCGATCTTTACTTGCTTTTGTATCAAGATTTTTTTTTAATTTAGTACGTAATTTTCTTAATTGTGCCCAATGTCTATAAAATATTGATTCATAAAATGACAAGGAAAAAAACACGTATATATATAACTGACTTGCTTATTTGCTCAGGATCAGTGATTGATGATGTTTTACGTTCAATATATTCACGTAATAATTGATGATAAAAATCACCATCATCAAAAAGTTCAGGATTCATTTTTGTTGTTAAATCAGTTGATGTTTCAGGATGACTGGGTGAAGACGGTGGACAAATAAGATCATAATCTATTCGACTTGTTTGTGTACGTTTGATAAGTCGATCAGGTAAAGACATGATCTAAATAAATATTTTTTCATATTATAAAGAATTTCATTTTAAAAACCTAGATGAACATTATTATCAACAAAGCGTTTAGTATTGCTCTAAAGTATATTATTTATTTCTTGGATGTTATTAATTTTTTTCTGCAAAACACGATTTA